TATTATTTTTAAAAAGAACAATAGTGGTGTCATGTTGTGAGTGGATGCTGGCCCTGCCCTCTCCACTTCTGCATCACAGTATAACTTTTGAGGTTGTTTCGTGAATATAGTTCTGGCCCCACCGACTGCATTTATGCTCTGCGCAAAACAAGGGAAAGGTGGGTTTGGTCTCTGGAACGCAACAGGTTGGAAAGATTTGAAGGCTATAATGCACACTCAAATGGCTGCCAGGGAGAAAGTGCACACATTTAAAAGGAGTGTAGATTAAGGTTTGAGTTGGTGTTTTTGGAGAGAAAGGCGCTGGCTGGAGGCTTCCTGGAAGACAAAAGCTCCCAGATAAAGGCAGCACCTTTCTCTCTCATCTTCCCTTCCACGTCTACAGCCCCTGTTTTCCTCTGACAACTAACAAGTCTAGATTTCAAATACTCTTTTTGAGGCTCTAAAATGGAGCCTTCCAGTCTTGCTGCAGTCTTGCATCATGTAGGCTCTCAGCCAAGTGCCATTGAATAAGGAATTTAAGCCTGGGATTTGGGCCAATGGCATATTGGAAAATGTTTAACAGCTGGCTTCACGGGAGAAAGTTCTTGTTAAGTTTCACATGTTTGTGGTGTGAACGCTCCTGCAATAGTCAATTTCAAGCTGCCTGTGTGATGTGGCTGAACCTAAAGTTGAGAAGAGATGCAAATCTGCTTCTGACTCCTAGTTTTGGTCTGTTATAGCACACCCCTGGATTGTGACTTAGCTCCAAACCTCTTTTCACAACTGTTCTCTATGGTGGCCTTGAGAGGTAGGACAAGGTCAGTGGATGGGCACTTCAGAGAAGTATACATGACTTCCAAGGATCACTATTCATGTGGTAAGGTGTAGGTACCTTTCAGGGTAAAACTAGAAATTAACTGTTATTCAGACTTTGGTTCTGGTCATGTGGCCACTTGTCTTTTGCCTTAGAAGTATGGGTGGTTGCTAGACTTTAGCCAGGGAGTGGGTGTAAGTGTTACAGCTCTGAAGAAAAAGTTATCCCAACAGAAGTGTTACAGCTCTGTTCCAGTGGGGCACGTTTCCCCAGGGAGTTTGTTACAACTCTGAGCTCTGGTCAGGAGAAATGTTACAGCTCTGCTCAGCTGAGTGTAACTACACTTTGCTACAGCAAGGGAAGGTTTCCCCAGCCAAAGTGTTACAGCTCTGCTCTGCTCCTGCTTCCAGGAGAGCCATTACAGCCCTGTTCTCCTAAGGGAATTTTTCCCACAGAAATGTAGCAGTTTTTCTCCTGCTCAGGTGAAAGTCATGACATTCTCTGCATCCCCTCTGCTCCAGAGAAAGAAACTC